GAGGAAGAGCCGGTCCTCTCCAGTTACCGTGCCACACGCCATGCCATGCGCACGCGGGAAGGGCGTCTCCATGTCGCTCAGGCCTGGCACTTGGCGCAGCTTCAGAGTAGCACAGTCAAGGACGAAGAGATTGGTGTGGTGATCGGTGTTGGCGAGCAGCAGGCAGCCACTCGCTGCCCCGCTCCCGGCGGTGAGGAACTCGCACCTTGGCACTGGGTCCAAGTCCTTGGCGAGCAGGAGGCGCGTCCGGGTGGGCATACACACACGTGCTGGCCCCACGGCGACGTCGCGCCACTGGTCCGCCCTGTCGCTCGCAGCCTACCCAGGTACGAGGCTGATTCGTAACGCCAGTGCCCCATGTTTGCTCAAGGCTGGATGAGGGTGTTTGAGTTTCCCGGTCTTTTTCAGTGTATGTATGTACTTTTAGCTCTCTCTCTCTCAGTGTATGTACTTTTAGCTTACTGGGAGAAAAGAGAGAGGGGGTTGTGCTCTCTAGGCCCCTAGGGGCCCTACGCGCGGCGTGAGAGCTCGGAAGCGAGCTTAGCACGGCGATCGAGGATGGCACGGTTCACCCCCTTCACCGAAGCGATGGAGATGCGTTCCGCGTGGTGTGACACAAATGAGAGGCGGGAGTGGGGAGGGTACGCGGTGCGGTCAACGCCCGAGCGTTGAGCCTTGCGCGCAAGGCGGTTGATCTTTGCAACCGCAGGCGGCGAGAAGCCGCCGCCGAATGTCTCGTGGAGAAGCAGGTTGAACTTGTTTCGTTTGCCGAAGATCCCGTCATGGTAATGGCCACGCTGCGACTTGACGTAGCCTTGGCCGGTGGTGTGGTCGAACGCACGTTGACCACGGAACCCGCGTTGCTTGCAGCCCATGTTTGCAAGGCGGGCGCGCTCTTCGGTGTTGCCGAAGGCGAACTTGTCTCCAACGGAGCCGGGGTTGCCTCCGGTGTCGGCGCGGCCGACCCCAACAGGCAAGCCACCCCGGAGGGGGGTCCAAAGTTTGACCTCGCTGATCTCGTCTTTGCCTCCAGGCGCCTCGCCCGGCTCAGCCAGGTCGGTTTTGTAGCCCTCGTTGAACTGTTTGGTGAGCTCAGGTTTTTCGGCATCTCCCATAACGGGCCGGGAGATGGAGACGGCGGCGACGCAATCGTACCAGGCGCGAAGTACGCCGTCGTGTGGGCGCCGCCGGGCGGCGTTGTTGAGGAACCAGTCGCCATGGTAGTCCTTTGCACCACCGACTGTGTCCCCAAGCTCGAGTGCCCGCGTGACAGTCGAGCGGCACTGCGAGAGGTGAAGACCGTTTCGGCGCTGAAGTTCGCCGATGAATATGTCGTCTGGAATGGTTGTGGCGTTGCTGCCGTCAAGTTTGGTGTCGAGCCACCGCCCCGCGTAAGGCTGCGAAGTTGAGACGTAGCGGATGGACTCGCGGTAACGTATCTTGGTGTCGCCGGGCTGCCAGTTGGCTGCTGTGTAGTCGTCAAGGGCGCGCCACTCCTTCTGCAGATCGAACCAGTTCCAGATAGTCTCGATGGCAGCAAGCGCCCGCGCGTACGGGCTTCCTGATTTGCAAGTGCCATCGATGACTGACTCCGGTGTTGGAAGAGACTCAGAAGTGGGGAGGCTGACGCCCTTGGGGTAGAACTCAGAGATCTTGCCGCCGCGCAAGGTGTAGTAGATGTTGTCGTCGCGCGCGGCTCGGATGGAGGCCACCTCGTCTCGCCTCGAGAGCGCGGCTCTGTACGAGTTGACGGCGGCGTCCCGTGCGCCGTACCCGCCGCAGCGCTCGGCTTCGGCGAGGTCCGGGCTGCAGGCCACAAGCTTTGACCAGCATTTGAGGAGGGAGTTGTGGTAGGCTTCGGCCGGGCCGCGCACGCCCGTGCGGCCCTCCCCCGTGTCGTTAAGCACGCCGACCGAGGTGACGCCCGTGTCGACGCCGGAGCCTCCAGTGATGGTAGGGAGCATAGCCTGCCTCCAACCCAGGTCTTTGTATTTCGCAGGAGTATCCTCGGCCTCCGTGAGTAGTTCCCACGATTTGCGAATCCGGTTGCTACCATCGATGGCCGGGCCCTCGCTGATCTCTGGTGGCGTGACGGAGCAAATGTACTTCGTCTTTGGGCAGGCCTGACGGGTGATGAGGTTGTACTTGAGGTGTCCAACGTTCTGAATGCCCTCGGTGCATTCGAGCGTGTCGATGAAGTCGAGCGGACGGAGGTTTTTGGCGAGGCGTTTGCCAATCGCCTCCGAGGCAGCCTCTGTGTCGCCGAGGTAGGTTCCGACGATTTTGAAGCACCCGTCCTCGTCTCGGTGGTGCGGCGAGCCGACCATGAAGGGGGGTACGCAGTCGAGGTCGCCGCTCGGAGAGTAGATGATGCACTTCTCCTCGTTGTCGAGGTTGCCAGCGACATCTTTTTGCACCTCGAGTGTCCCGCCCTCTCCGCAGTAAGACTTGACGGCCTCTGCCACGGTGTCGTTTTGAACCATGTCGTCGATGAACGAAACGAAGCGGGTAGTCGGGTTCTTCTTTTGCACAATGTTGTCGATCTCGTGTTTGACTCCGGTGGTGCACATCCCTGAGAAGGCGCGCCCTTGGGCGCCGCCGCAGCACGACCGGATGTAGCCGGTCGGCTGTTCCTCCGCCTGGTGCGGCTCCATGGCTTGAGCGGGTCCCACGGTGCGTCGGCGTCGCTCGGGTCCG